GATTTTTTTTTCTTTCATTGACAGAAGGCAGCCTTGCTATCCCAATTTTTTCTAAAATCCCCAAAATTCATCTTACCTACATACATGTAGCTTTCAGTTTCTGAAGTAGCTTTAACTTAATTCCACTGCCAGCAGTATTTCTCAAACAACAAAACAAAAAAAACCCACACATCCTTTTGCTTGAAGCAGAAAAACAAACAAAGCTAACTAAAGTCCCCTTAAGCTCAGGCCTCAAGTTCTTATGCTGTTAAAACCACTGGTCCAGCAGTAGGAAAATAGCATGTTGTATTTTGTGATTGTGAATGTTGGGGAGGTGGTAAGGTATCCAATTATTTAAAAGACTAATGTGCTTAGTGAGGCGGTTTCCTTCTCTGGGTGTTCACCACTTCGAAACAAAACTTGTGCTTGCAGATCTCAGGTCTGCATAACTGATGTGGAGGAAGGAGCTTACAACTACTAGTCGCAGTATTTTAGTACCTTTGCTGGACACAATATTAAGTTTAAACTAAATAACAAAGAACAACTAAGAAAATAGAAGGGGGGCACAGAAACAAGAAGTAGAGCTATATACAGTATGCCATAGGTAAAGGAAAAGCTGTAGACAGGCAATGTGGGGACATTTGTGATATTTGCTCTCTTAAGAATTTTATCAACTGTGGAACTTCAAAAGTAAACATAAATCTCTCCAGCAACGGGAAATGCAACCACTAAATTTCTTGAATTAGATGTTAAAAACAGAACAAAGCCCCTGTCCAACAAAGAAACACAGAGCTGAATGGAAACACTCCTGCTCTTGAAGATAAGAACACAGTTTAAGCACTTGCAGAATCAGGCTGGAGTTTTACTACTTGTAGATAAGATGAGGTTTCAGTCAACGAAAGCTGAGAACAACCAGTTTCCACACAAGTTTCATTTCAGAGTAAAAATTAAATTTGAAGTTTGTGGACCTGGCTGCAATAGTCACAGAGACTCAAGAAAAAAAGCTCTCAGTTGCGGGATTTTTTTCAAAAGCTGTCAGCACAAAATCACAGAAAATACACCCGCCATTCAGAGATAGCACCATGTTCCTGCAGTAATTTCTGCTATATAGCACAGCACTTTTCCTTTCCAGATGGGATTAATTTTATTTCTATAGGAGACCTGAAATTGAATTCACTGCCTAAAGATAAAAATCTCCCTTGGTAGGAATATGCAATTCCCTTCTCCTCATGTTTCCCCCTCACTAAAAAGTGAACACAATTTTTTCTTTCTCCAATCTCAATCGCTGATAGTTAAGAATAATGCTTTTGGCACCACTTCAGTCATTAGCAAGTAATCAACTGTGAACTACAGCAATTCTGTGAGGCTGCAAAAAATATTTTGTCTTTCTATGAGGCTCTGAGAACATACGTGGGATTGGACAAAGATGAGTTACAGAGCTGCACAAAGGGGTTAATTTATTCCTCCTGCATTTTGTTAGTCTCCTTCAACAAGAAGTATGAGTGACCTTTGAGCCAAACCAATACGTTAAATCCAATAAAATTTTTCTATACAATGAAGATCCTAGCATATTTAGCATTACTCTTCAGTTTTTTCCTGAATGTTCACAAGTGACAGGAGGAGAAGGGTAATTTAATATTAAAAACACAAATGATGCAGACTAAGAAAAAGAGGGGATGCCCAGGAACACAGCAAAGCAGAATTGCAGTGGCACTGCCAGTAATTACATAAATGATGAAATAAGGTCAGAACAATATTCAAAACTGACGTCAAAAAAAGAACCAGAATAATTTCACGTCTAGCAGTTTAAGCTATATAATCTATGGAAGGAGAAAACAGCATCAGAGCAATTCTCTCTTCCAAACTAGCATCTGCTGTAATTCACCAATAAAGCAGCAATCAGAAAAGGAACAAGATGTTTACAGCCCTGTACAGCCCTGCTTATGACATGAAAACAACCAATTTAAGAGTCAAGAACATGCATGTTGAAAAGATTTCTCTGTGACACCAAAAGAACAGTTTAAAAGCTTTTGGCCTAATGTAAGTTACTATGTAAAGAAGAAAAAAAAACCCGATGTATCATTTCTTTTATCTGGCATTAATATTAGTCAAATTACTTTAGTCTGTGATTCTTGAAAAGAGAAGAAAGGAAAGTAAGTGTCAAGAGAAACACAAACACAAAACAGGGATATACATGTAACAAAACACTAACAAAGACTTTTTTACTTACATAAAATGTGACTATTTAAAGTTTTCATAAAATTTAAGGGAAGCAGAAATACCAAGAACTATGCAGCTCAAATTACCATAGTATAAAATGCTCAAAGATGCTGAATCAACCACAATCCAGTCAGACAATAAAAGCATAGGTGACAAAGGCAAAGCCAGGAGTGAAATAACAGTATTCAAACTGATGTCAACATTCAAAACCCTGAAGAAGATAGAAAATGCTAAAATAGAAAGCTAGGTGCTTATTAGATACAATACTCAGTAGGTTGAAACCTACTTCTTTCCCTGCAGTTATCTTCTGACTGCAAACCTTCAACAGCTGCTAAGCATGATACAGACACGTATTTGTAAGAACTTCTACAACATGTTTTTCTAATAGCTGACCCTTAAAACGTGGCAGACAAATAGCCCTAGAAGAGCCACTCTGCAGCAGCTTGCTGCATCTTGCTCCAACTGTTACCTTTATGAGATCTCTCCTTTAAAATATCTGAAGATATGCTAAGGAGATGAGGATATTCTCTTGCAAATAAACTACTGAAAAGGTGAATGGCATAGTGACACCCAGGAGATGACAACCAGCTACGCCCCACTGAAGATATAACCCCACAGCACTCCCCTTCCTGGCCACATGCTGGTTGCGCATAGCTTCTGGTGGTAGCTGGTTCAGCTTGCCAAGCCATCCCGACACTAACCGAGCCAACTAACAAAAACCACTTTGTGCTGGTTAGCAAGCTGAACTAGCCTGCAGCTGGTTAGAAGAGTCAGCCAGCACACAGGCAGTGTTGGGATCGCCCTTTTAAGCCAGAGCAGAGTTAGATTTTTTCCAAGTATTTCCTGAAACACTGGTCCTGGGGTCCTGGAAACAGAAAGGAAATCACAGAGACACAGAATGGCTGAGGTTGGAAGGGACCTCTGGAAGTTGTCTTGTTCAACCCCCTGCTTAAGCAGGGCCACCTAGAGCTGGTTGCCCAGGACCATGTCCAGATGGCTTTTGAATATGTCCAAGGATGGAGACTCCACAACCTCCCTGGGCAACCTGTGCCAGTGCTCAGTCACTCTCACAGCGAAAAAAGTGTTCCCTGATGTTCAGAGGGAACCTCCCGTGTTTCAGTTTGTGCCCATTGCCTCTAGTCCTGTCACTGGGCACCACTGAATAGAGCCTGTCTCTGTCCTCCTTGCACATTCCTTTCAGGTATTTATATATGCATTAATAAGATCCCCCTGAGCCTTCTCTTCTCTAGGCTAAACAGTCCCAGTTCTCTCAGCCCTTCTTCAGATGTAAGATGCTCCAGTCCCTTAATCATCACTGTGGCCCTTGCTGGACTCTCTCCAGTATGTCTACGTCTCTCTTGTACCCAGAACTTGGACCCAGTGCTCCAGGTGTGGCCTCACCAGTGCTGAGGGGAAGGATCACCTTCCTCAACCCACTGGCAATGCTATATCTAACACAGCCCAGGATACCATTAGCCGCCTTTGCCGCAAGGGCAATTGGGAGGAACCGCTCCACGCAAGGGACAGTAGGGGAAAACACACGGAAAAAGACAAGAAGTGGTGAGAGTGCCACGTCCAGTGCTAGCTCTGTCTTATGTCCATCAGTCACTCTAACCCTGGGGATTGAGCGTAAGCTCTTTAATGATGAAATGAAGCGAAATGAAATTAATATAATAGTTCAGTTGGAAGGGACCTACATTGATCATCTAGTCCAACTGCCTGACCACTTCAGGGCTGACCAAAACCTAAAGCATATTATTAAAGGCATTGTCCAAATGCATCTTAAACACTAACAGGCTTGGGGCATCTATCACCTCTCTAGAAAGCCGGTTCTGGTGTTTGACCACCCTCTCTGTAAAGAAATGCTTCCTAATGTCCAGCCTAAACCTCCCCTGACACAGCTTTGAACCATTCCGACGGGTCCTGTCACTGGATCGCAGGGAGAAGACATCAGCACCCCCCTCTCCACTTCCCCTCCCCAGGAAGCTGCAGAGAGCAATGAGGTCACCCCTCAGCCTCCTCTTCTCCAAACTAGACAAACCCAAAGCCCTTAGCTGCTCCTCATAGGACATCCCTTCCAGCCCTTTCACCAGCTTTGTTGCCCTCCTCTGGATGCATTTGAGAACCTTCACGTCCTTCTTAAATTGTGGGGCCCAGAACTGCACGCAGTACTCAAGGTGAGGACTGACTAGAGTGACATAATCGCCTCTTTTGACCGGCTGGTTGTGCTGTGTTTGAGGGACCCCAGCATGCGGTTTGCCCTCTTGGCTGCCAGGGCACACTGCTGACTCGTATTGAGCCTGCTGTCAGCCAGCACCCCCGGATCCCTTTCTGCAGGGCTGCTCTCCAGACACTCCTCCCCCCATTTACACTTTCGCCTGTGGAAATGCGTTGGGTATCGCCGCCGTTAACACGCAACGTTTTGAGTATCAACTACGGCCCGTAAAACAAGCATGGGTTAACAGACCGGTGACGGGAATGCTTGGCTTGGGCAGCGGTGACCTGAGGGGAGCCAGTATCTAAAGGGAGAGGGAAAACGGCCGTTAGGGGAGGGAAAGTATGAGGTGATTTAAGAGGAAAGGATTAAATGACAGAATAGGGCTGGAAGGAGCCGGCCGGGCCGCGGCGGGGAGGCCGGCGGGGGGGGGGGGGTGGTTAAGCGTACAATCTCCTTCG